CAACAAATAGTGGGATTGACCGTCACATTATAAAGCCACCACGGCTGAAATGGCGAGCATGTTTGGTGGGACGGGGATTCGAACTCCGCCACCCTCAGATTGCGAGTCGAGCGCCCTAACCACCTGGCCATACCGGGCCTAGATGGTGTTAGAAGTGTTCAATTGAAATGAAAATTTGAGGTGGCTTGATGCTGTAAATATGTCATATTTTAATTAGGATTTAACCAATTATCTCGAATTATTGATTAATATATAATGGTATTGAAAGAACTGGTATTGAAAGTCAAATTTCCCGAATCAACTGATATTTGAACGTTCATATGAGAGTCGAGCACCGTAACTATCGACCCAACATGTAGTATCTAACCTCCAATACTAACAACTATTAACTTAGAATATCATGGTATTTGTATTCTTTCAAATATTGAAAGAACTTGTTCTAAACATGAACACTTATCTAAAAAATCATAAGAAGAAGAAGAAGATATCCCATCCGTACTGCTGGTTGAACACGAGACTTCCGCTTGAGGATCGGGTGCTCTAACCACTGAGGTAATTTGAGCTTTACCAACGGACTGTGACTTATATTTATAGATAATTGAACTTTATAGACACACTTTTATTATCTCAAGGATTCCTATTCAGATCTGAAGAAGAATACTCATTAGAATTAATAGTTTAATATTTCTTAACGTGTTGGACACTTCCGCCAGGCCGGATAAACAACCGGAAACCGTTTATCCTTGCTAAATTTGTGTACGTATATCTTCGTAAAGCGCCGTACTGTTTTTCTATTGTTTCTTATTTTTCCAAACACTTGTCAATCGACCACTATTCCTTCATTTCTCGGCGGACTGACTTGAAATTAGTAGGCCTTTTTAAGGATTTTATGGGGTCAAAGATCAAACAACCACAAAATGTACATTTTTGGGTCCTGTGCGGTTATATTTAGAGCAATCAAAATGAAAATTGAAACAAATATAAATTTTCATGCGCTCAACCCATTGAAATAAAAAATGTTCGATTTTCTTATCTTGAGGCTTTTTAGAGGAATCAGGGCTCACAAAAAAGCAGAATTTGAGGGGGTTTGGCCAATTACTCGGTCAGGCTTTGACCTATTTACATGGGATTTAGTACAAAGATAATTTTTAGCAGGTTCTACACACTGAAAAACAAAAATGTGAATTTGCACATTTTTAGTAATTATAGAGCGGTCCAGATGCCACAAAAAGCATAATTTCAGTTGTTGTTTTTACAATTTCTCCGCCGTATTTCGACCAATTTACACGAAACTTGGTATAAAGACTCTCGTTACAAGTTCCAAATAGAGAAATAGATCATTTTATATTTTTATCTTTTGCTCAATTTTTCAGTGAGGAAAGTACAGTTTGTGGTTTTTCGTGAACTAATGATGTGTATGTCAACTAACTTACATGGGATTTGGTACAAATATACCTTCTTGTAGGTCCCAAGCAGTGATATAGACAATTTTCGATTTTTTATTTTTTACGATGTTTCTGGTGTCAAGATTAACCATGTTGGGATTTCATGGCGGAGACATGTTGCCCACAAATGTTGTCCATTTTAATTTAACAAAGATATATAAAAAACTGACTCTTCAATAATGAACTCCACTTAAGATTGCGACAATGTAGGAAAGATATGTCAGAAGTACAAGTCTGTACATGTTACTCTGTTAATCCACAACCTTATGCTTTCCGGTTAAGGTTGTGACAGTATAGGAACGATATGTCAGAAGTACAAGCTTGTACATGTTACTCTGTTAATCCACCTCCTTATGCGTTCCGGTTAAAGTTGTGAAGTATAGGAAAGATATGTCGGAAGTACAAGCTTGTACATGTTACTCTGTCAATCCACCTCCTTATGCGTTCCGGTTAAAGTTGTGAAGTATAGGAAAGATATGTTAAAAGTACAAGCTTGTACATGTTACTCTGTCAAATCCACCTCCTTATGCGTTCCGGTTAAAGTTGTGACAGTATA